TACTTTAGATTGCGTAAGAGGATTATCTCTCTTTTATATATGAGTCATCGGCAACTCACAAGTACTCGTGAGAAGAACTCTAATAGTAGGCCATAGTAGTGACGCGGACCGTTTGCAAACCTAGAGATTCCTACTTTCTAAGGGTGTAGGTTTTAAAAAATCTATAAAGGAAGGCGTGGCTACAAAAGAACAGCAAATTATACTGCTCAGATTTTTCTTGTATGAATATTAAAAATACTAATAAACAAGACGTTACCTCTNTTCGTAAAATGTCTGGTCTTTGCTATTAAAAAATTGAATTAGGTGTGATCCGACATCATCCGCGTTGTTAAAAATTTTACCATTTAAAGAGTTTTGCATGGAACGAAACAAATGGTAATCCGAAGGCGCAAGGTCAGGGCTATATGGTGAGTGTGACAAAACATCCCAACCCAGTTGCAATAATTTTTGCCGAGTAACCAAAGATGTGTGGGGGGGGCCTTGCGTTATCATGATGGAAAACAACACCCTTCCGATTTGATAAGGCCGGCCGCTTATCTTCAATTGCATCCTTCGCTTTTTCGAGTTCTTCAACATACACATTTGAATTTATCGTTTGGTTCTGCGGTATGAGTTCAAAATACAAAATTCCTTTGTGATCCCACCACACTGACAGCATAATCTTTTTTTGGTGAATCTCTGCTCTTGATACTGTTTGGGCTGGTTGATCTTGCTTCACCCATGATCTCTTGCGAGTAACATTCTTATAAACTATCCACTTTTCGTTGCCAGTAACTAGGTTCTTCGGAAATGGATCATTCTCATTGCGTTTCAGTAGCGAATCACAGATGCTAATCCGTTGCGTAAAATGAATTTCCTTTAACTGGTGAGGGATCCATAAATCAAGTTTCTTGACATAACCAAGGGTTTTTAATTTTTTTTCAATGTATGTATGCGACACATTGAGCTTCTCTGCAATATCTCGTGTTGTGCTGTGACGATTTGAATCGATAATGGCCTTGATATGGGTTTCATCCACTTCGACTGGGCGGCCAGATCGTTGTGAATTTTCCAGTGAAAAATCACCGGAATGAAATCTTTCCAACCAATTTCGACACTGCCTTTCTTTTAAGGCTTCATCTCCGTATACGGCACATAACTTCTTTTGTGCTCGCGATGCGTTCTTGCCTTTTTGGAAGTAATACAATAAAATGTGTCGGAAGTGCACGTCCTGTTCTTTCATTTTTAAATTGGAATAAAAACAAAACTAAAGAACTAAACAAAAAAATTTTTTACTAATTAACCTAGAAGCCCATACAGTAAGAAAAAAATATAGATTAGATGCTCTGGCCACGTTAACAAAACAAAAGAAAGTATAGAGTGAATCTGTCAACAAAAACGGCAATGACTTAGTTGCCAACCCAATAGTAGGGTTAGTTTTCTTGGCCAGAGATGAATTAGCGTTGTTCTCAATCTCTTTAAACATGAAATGTATTTCGCTAATGAAAATATCTGCACATTTTTTCATCGCCTTACACCCTTTCCGTTAAGTACTAAGTATAAGAAATGTCGCACATTTCAAGGCATTTTATTGTAAGACTTATGATACCCATAGTTGGTTGCACTACTAATCTTTTTCGTTAGAAAAGCAGAGAATAAATTCTGTCGACCAAATAATCACTACTACGGCTAACAATAAAATATCACACGTGAGAGCTATGCCCTCGTCAAAACTCTAAATACGTACCAATACCCAAGTAACTCAATTTCTATACTTATTCCGCCTCATAATTTTAGACTTTCAAATCGTAACCCCAAGTATTTCTACATCTCAAATCGGAGCATTCTCAAATATCACGGTCTTTATTGGTTTTCTACATTGTTGCTACCTAGGTTCGCATACCTCCAAATAAGGCATCTATAATTTTCTAAGTTGCCAAATATCCAAACAATATTAAAAAGGAGCCATGCCTCGTTGCTATTAGCTTCAATTGTAAAGAGTTGCCCTATAGACTCTATGTTGTGGTCTATACGTGTAGCGTACAAACCAGTGGTTTACTCCCTGCCATTTCCTATAACCTACTGCTTAACGCACCACAGTGCTCTTTATTGTGGAATAAACAATATGTCATTTGATGAATTAAGCAACTTGACTGATCATGAAATCTCAAGACGAGTCAAAGAGAAGCAGAATGATAGAAGTCTCTGGAAATAATTCCTAAGAGCCGAATTCCAGATCCTCGCTCAGTCATCACATGCTAATACAAATTGCAAATTCACTTAACACAAACCAGAACCATGGGCAGTAGTATAGTGCTCATGACTTGCTAATCAGATACAGAAGGCATACCAGACTCCACTTCGGTTCTAGCTTACAGATTATGAAGCAACATCACAATTATAAATCTCACTAGGCTCTCAAACAGTTCACACACACACACACATACTGTTAGAATTGGTTAAAATTACTTACTATTTGTTTTTCCCCCGTTTACCTACCAACCAACAAATTCCATTAGAAGAAAAAGAAAATTATCGAATATTCTCATGCATGACAGCTAGAACATAATGCTACATACGAGCTCACAACAGAACACATTAATATTTACATGGACCCAGTAAAGTCATCCCCAGTGGCGTGAGATATAGTTCGTTCAACGTATCCGACAAAGCGACTTCAAGCTTCAAGAGAGCATTAAGGAAAACTCAGATCGACGTGATCAGGCAGCAAGAAATAATAATCATCCAACCTCTACATAATTCTCATGCATGTCGAAAGGGAACTGAATAGAATCAAAGCTATTCCAGAAGGAACTTTCTATCAGAGATCAGTTACAACCAAGACAAATTCCTTTACGAAAATAACAAATGAAAAAAAAACACTTTAGTTGCAAAATAAATATGAAACATCAATTAGTAATGGACGAAATAAATACATATATGTATAGATAAATAAATTCCTACAATTGAAAGACAAGGAAGAAATTACTAGCATCCAGTTACCACTTTGGAACAGGAATACCAAATCAACCCATTATCTGAAGACAATAATTTCTCTAACTTATCAGAAAGACCATTACTCCCATCGGCACAGGGTTCTTCAAAAGAAATTTCCATTGTTTCTTCTTTAGAAATGACATTCAGCAAATGAATAGGACAATTACGATTTAGGGGGTTGAAATCAGGTTTTGGGATGAAGTTTCCAAAATTAATAGCTACATCTGTTCTAAAAAATACGTGCAAACGCGAGGGAGGAGCAGAAGCGAATATTTTACTAAAGTGGGGATTCTGCACAATATTTCTGAAAAAATCTGTACAATCTTCCTCCGTTAATTCATCTTCATCGGATGAGACATGATTGACACAAAAGTTGCTGAAGTTCAGTAGAATCATCCTTGAAGGTTTCTGAATATTCTGACCCAAAATTAAAAGAAATTGGTTGACTGGGCTAGACGAAAGGCTTTTGAGTTCAGTTTCCAATTGACGTAGTGAATCGATACTAGACTGCAATTTTTTAACTGATACGTCCGACGAGGCAATAGCCTTACTGCCTATATCCTTGGTTGAAAGTAACTTATAATCCGGAAATTGTTCTGAATTGAAAAGGAAAAATTGAATAAATTTTATTAAAAGAGAAGTCCGTTGTGAGTATGACATCCCAGAGCAGCCGGTAAGAACATCGGAAGCGGACATGCTTGAAATATTTATAAATACCCGTCCCCGTAACTGCAACACAACCGAAGCATTACAACAAAAGTAATGACAAATTTCAATAAAACTGTATATTTGATAATATTTTGAATTGATTAATAATTTATGACTCTGAAAAAGAGAAAATTAAATTTTATCTTTAATTTTTAAGCAAGCAAAAGTATTGGTGACTGTTTCAATATGCAAAGATATTCCTTAATAGAAATCAAATCAATTCAAAATAATACCGTGTGATATTTCAGAAATATATTTCAGTAAAAAAATGACTTTGGTGCCAAGTATTTATCAATAGTTTGTTAAAATTCAATGCAGGTTGTAACGCATTATTTATACCTATTCCATATTGCTCAATATTCGTGATTATAAACCCATTAGCTGATTTATTCGTCATAAAATAATCAGATCTTTCCGAGTTATTATTTTCACGTTGAGAGTACTTCATGTTTTTGAAGTTCATTTCCATGGCCGGTTCTGTATCAATATCTACAAATGCAGGGACACGATAGCAAAACTTATTTCACTGATTTATTTGTCCACTAAGAGAGATTGTACCTGGGTATTTAAAGTTCTGTTTTCGCTCATATTTGAAACTGAATGGTCCCCAAATTTATTGCTTAGGGATAGTTTTCAATTAACGTGTGAGGAATTAACTACATCGAAAGGCACCATTCATCACGATCAAATAAAATATGAAATCCGTCATAATTTCAAATGACTCAAATCGAACCGCTTACCTTTACGAGAACTATTTGCTTTGACTCCTATCTTTCCAACTTATTTCAGTTTATAATTGAAATAATGGAAATTTTTTATTAGCATAATAGCATTTACTTGAACTTTATTAGACTTGCTGCAGAGTGCATATAAGAACCTCAGCGATTCATAGTTACCAAATATGCCCAATAGCTATGAAAAATTTTAATTGAAGTGCATATTGGATATATTTCTCATTTAAGGACCTGCAAAACGGCTCTCTTTCAGTACACTATATTATCAATTTTCCAAGTTTAAACCTGTCAAGAATGGGCGCTTCTCAACCGAGAGTGCCTAGGTTACTTTAGAAAGCATTCCTTCGCCTACTTAGTCTGACTCATGATTCTGCGATGACCTTGATTTCCTTTATTCCTCGTTAGGACAAAAATACCATACAGACAGTTTCACTTGACATACATTAATTTGATTCCCTCGTTTTAACCTCATCTCCACTTCTTATGTACTGGCTCTTTTCACATTTCTTCCAAGTTGCTTAGCCCAACACACCGTAATCAGCCTAATTTAATCCTATTTAACACTTGTTCATTCCATTTAGGAATCAATTGCTCTATCGAGAATTATCTAATTGGACCCACTTTGATTTCTCTATTTTTCAACAATTGAACCTAACTATGTGACTTTATACGACTCGAAACGGCTTTAGTAGCCCTGCAGTTGGTGAAAACACTTCCTGATCCAAAATCTGCACCATCCTCCTTTGACATAATTATCCTGATTAAAGCAAATATAACAAGTATCAATCAAGTTATCACTCGAATGTACAAAGATACATGCTTTAATATATTTGTAGATGCTCAAATGGGTACACTTTGACTGATATAAGCGAACTAGTGATGGCATTAGATCAGTAGAGGGGGCAGTGAGGAGAAATAAAGTGGAAGGTACAAGATTTATTCGATAATGAAAACCGATAATTAGTTGGGAGGAAAGGAGGGAGCGAAGTAAGAGGGATAAGGAAACATTAGGCTGATAGTATAATCTCAAAAGAGGAGAGAGAGAGAAGGCGGGATTTATCATGAGCGTAGTAGTTTGTCGACTGCAGTCGGAAGGAAAGCACCACACTCAGGATGTTGGAAGGGTTGGGTAAGGAAGTGTTTCTCGTGTTCATTCTTGAAAATCGGATGCCTTCGATAGTTCTCTATCAAGGCCTCCAAACTGGTGAAGACCTTCAATCCAATGTAGAATTCACCATCCTTCATATGCACCTTGAAATTTCGATTTTTTGAGCCTGCATTCATGGTTATTGTCAAGTCACCGGGCTTAAAAAGAGCAAAAAAGGCATTTTATAATGTTATTATCATTAATAAACTTTATACTCTGAACTGATTAAAGTAAGCCAAAACCTTTGAAAATCGTCAAATTTATGGCAATTAGCATTCATAGGTGATAAAAAGATAAAATGGTCGGCCTAATTCAAATCACAAATCAATGGCTATCAATAAAAGAAAAGCGAGCTTACGATGAAAGAGGATTCAGGATAACCCCCCCCCCCCCCACCCCACTTGACTTTCAAAGTAACCTAATGGGTCGTAAACACTTTCCTGAATGGCTAAGCACGTTAGTTTATTTCCACTTAAAATTTTTCCATTAAAAGAGTCAATCGGAAAGAATGATCGTTTTACTTGTATCTTGATACGCATCATAGATCTTAAAAACTAAAGGCCAGTTCAGTTATACAACTAGCAAAAGAATCAACATATGCTATCTGCAGGTAGTACGGTAACACGATATGAATCTTAAACGCGATGGAAACTGGCGTTCGACGATAACACTCGACACTTAACCCAAGGTCACAATCACCAAAACTAGAAGTAAGGTCAGATCGTAAAATAAACGGCGTAAGGACCCGAACGGTCACGTATTAGGACATAATAAGTTATGAAATACCGTTTCTTAATTTGATAGAACCATCTTAGTCAGAAAAAGTGATTACAACAAAGGTTCTAAATATCCACATAGCACAACCAGGGCAAACATGAAGCTACGGTAACAGAAATCAAACTGCCAAGAGGAAAAGGACTGGTGGAAAGGGCCGGCGAAAAATGCAATTTCTTCCGGCCAAATTTAAGACAATAAGTAGACGAAAACGAAGTAAGCGCAAGCTAAAAAAGTAGTTAATTGTGAACAAGTAATACTGTGTTAATACCATTTCGGATAAAGTATTTAACTTCAGGACGGAGAAAGAGGAGTCTAAGGATCAAGGGGAAGGGAGGTGGGAAGAGTTGGACCATTGCAACTGGAGCTTAAGTTAGCTAATCCATCTTGCCATCAAAATACGAAAAACCATATGGCATTTGCATATATAGACTCCAAGATAACAAAATGAGGTTATTAAGAGGTCTAGTAGGATTTTTTTCCTTCATTATATTTAGAAAGCATTAAGATTTCAATATTCGGGGTGTGCGATAGACTTACCTCCACGTGGTGC